CATCGACAGATATTACGTATACATCTCACGACAGTTTGGCCGAGAGTACGTACAGCACCCACCAGCAAGGGCTGGGCCAAGGCCACAAGGGAGACGCACATCACAATTGCTCACCTCCCCGACATGAATGGGGACGACGTCGCACTGCTACAAAAACGATTCAATACAGTTCTCAACTGCTGGAAGTACGACGGCTCCCACAGGAATGTTGAGCTTGAGCTCCCCTGGTCACAGCGGCCGGCGCAGATACCATTTTACAGAAAAGCCGACCACAGACCAAACAACAAGTTTTTCAGCGACGACGAGGAACCTCCACGACATCCGAGAAGGGCCGCACTCATCTACATGACTTGGCAAGAGTCCAACGACGACATCGACCACAACAGAGTCCGACCAAGAATCGCCACCAGGCACCGGGCACCCAGGGGGAGGAGGCACCATTTCTTGGGGGGTGGCAGGTGGTGGACTGCCGCTTTCGGGTTCTGGACACGGACAGCTTGTTAGTTCGTCTGCGGGCTGGCCCGTGCCACTCGGCGGACGCCCGACTTTTCCTCCTCGTGCTTGTACGTCTTTCCTTGATATCCTCCCTTGTCCCTTCTCCTCGTTCCTCATCAATCCTTCTCCTCCTCCTCCTCCTCCTCCTCCTCCTCCTCCTTCTCCTCCTCCTCCTCCATACTCCCCCTTCCCCCTCTGTTTCCTCCGCCTCCGTCTTCCTCGTCACACCACACACATTCCACCCGTCTTCCTTCATGGCATCCTCATTGTTCTTCCTTTCTGTTTTCTTCTGCCTCGCCTTGCTCGCTCCCTTCTTGATCCTTCCCCAGACTGATTCTGGTCGGAGTGGATAGTGCACCCTTGGCCTACGCTCCGACTTGCCGCTCTCTTAGAGAGACAAACAAATATTCCAATCCCTCCTGCGCCCCGCTCTCCCCCTCGCCTCACCCCATCCGCTCCTCTCTCGCAGCCGTTTTTTTTTGGCTTAGGACGCGGCCCCGAGACGGGGGGGGGCGGCCCCCTTTTCGGGTGTTGCCAGAGGCTATGCCCAAGGTGCCCCCAGGATCCCAAGGAGGTCCCCACGGTTTCCAGGGTCCCGAGGAGGCCCCCACGATTTCCATAGCGCCCCTCACGAGGCCCACGGGTCCCCAGAGGCCCCGAAATGGCGCGAAAAGCAGGGAGCATTTTGGGCCAGATGCGGCTCGATGTGGAGCACGATGTTATCCACGCCGACGACGCCGATGCATCGCCGACGCCGCCATTGCATCGGCGATGCATCGCCGATGCATCGGCGATACATCGGCGATGCGGCGCGATCCTCCGACCCCATCTGCTCGGACCCCACCCAGGAGGCCGGATGGCTTGGGCCAAAATGGCTGCGGAGGGGGAGGAGGAGGAGGAGGAGGAGGAGGAGGAGGAGGAGGAGGAGGAGGAGGAGGAGGAGGAGGAGGCAGGCGAGGAGGGTAGCTTCTAAGGCAGTGGTCGGTTCGGCGTGCGAGAGTTGCAACCGTCACACGATGGTTGCAGTCCACCTGCAGAGCGCCTGCAGGTGGGTCGCGCCAGCCCGCCGCGCGGCTCCAGGCCCAGGGCGGGTCGCGGACCCGGCCCACTCGGAGCAGCCGGGCGGACGCGCAGCCCGCTCGCCGGGTGCCCTGCAGATGGGCTGCAGCCACCCCGCAGCTGCCGCCAGGCACGGCGAGCACTGCATGCACTGGGCCAGGGCCACTTCCTGGAGCAGCACCCGACCCGTTCGGCAGCGGAGGCGCAGGGCGCCATGTGGGCCCTCTGCGCCAGGGCCGGCCGCGCCTCGGCGCGCGGCGCGCTGCGGGACGCGCGCGCCGGGGGCGTGCCGCAGCTGCGGTGGTCCTCGCGCGAGCCCCTGGCCATCACCGAGGCAGGGCTCGTCTCGACTCCTCCGGCTTGGCTCGATTCGATCACGATCGATGCGACCCGGGATCCTGGTGCGGTTCGACCTCGGCTTCCGATGATGGGGCCTCGGTTTCTCCATGGAGGCCTTGATTTCTGCCGACTTGACTTCTCCCGACGTGGTTCAACCACGTCGGGAGAAGTCAAGTCGGGAATCGGCAATGCCGATTCCCGACGAGCCGATTCATTTCGATCGCCGATCCGACTTACCGATTCGATTGATGGGGTCTCTGGCCGAGGTGCGGAAGGGCATGATTCTGTGCGAGAAGGGCGGAGAGTACTGGGAGGTGAAGGAGACCTGAGGAAGAGAACCCTCAGATGCTGGCGTGTCATTTGCAGCTGCCTGAAGGGGCAATCGTGCTGCGAAAGTGATGCGAAGTTGCAACTATTTGAACTCGGAATATGGTTGGCGAATGCATGCTCACAGTTCTCGCGCTTTTGTGGGATGGACTGCATAAAACTCTATCGGCAGGGCGCCCGAAGTCAAACAACAAAACCTTACCCTGGCGGCGTACCCAACCCCTGCGAAATGCGGGGCAGGAGTAGCTTGGGAGATTTGACGAGAAGGCGGCGACGTGAAATGGACGCATATACGTCTGCGAGCGGCATTCGGAAGGTTCGCAAGTCCCCAATCAAGGGAAGAACAATGGGTAACTAAGTGAACCCCTGAGTCGCTGGGGAGGACTCAAGGTCCGAAGGGAAACGGTGGGCAAGGGGCGTGAAACGTCGGAGGGCAGCAACAGCATGACATGGCCCCCCAAGAACGGCGAGGTCTACCTCAGATCCGCGCAGTGCCTGACTCCGCTGGGCCCACCAGCAGCCTTCGAAAGTGGCGAGCCCACCAGCGGTCCTCGAAAGTGGCGATAGCGTCGCAGATCGCAGCCCCTCCCAGGGACGGCGAGGTCTCGCTCAGATCCCCGCGGTGCCTCAGTCCGCAGGACCCACCAGCAGCCCTCGAACAGTTTCGCAGATCGCAGCCAACCAGGGACGGCAAGGTCTCGCTCAGATCCCCACGGTGCCCCACTCCGCTGGACCCACCAGCAGCCCTCGAAAGTGGCGACAGTTTCGCAGATCGCAGCCCCCCAGGGACGGCGAGGTCTCGCTCAGATCCCCGCGGTGCTTCACTCCGCTGGACCTACCAGGAGCCTTCGAAAGTGGCGATAGCGTCGCAGATCGCAGCCAACCAGGGACGGCGAGGTCTCGCTCAGATCCCCGCGGCGCCTCAGTCCGCAGGACCCACCAGCAGCCCTCGAAAGTGGCGACAGTTTCGCAGATCGCAGCCAACCAGGGCAAGGTCTCGCTCAGATCCCCACGGTGCCTCACTCCGCTGGACCAACCAGCAGCCCTCGAAAGTGGCGACAGTGTCGCAGATCGCAGCCCCCCAGGGACGGCGAGGTCTCCCTCAGATCCCCGCGGTGCCTCACTCCGCTGGACCCACCAGCAGCCCTCGAAAGTGGCGATGGCGTCGCAGATCGCAGCCCCCCAGGGACGGCGAGGTCTCGCTCAGATCCCCGCGGTGCCTCAGTCCGCAGGACCCACCAGCAGCCCTCGAAAGTGGCGACAGTGTCGCAGATCGCAGCCCCCCAGGGACGGCGAGGTCTCGCTCAGATCCCTGCGGTGCCTCACTCCGCTGGACCCACCAGCAGCCCTCGAATGTGGCGACAGTGTCGCAGATCGCAGCCCCTCCCAGGGACGGCGAGGTCTCGCTCAGATCCCCGCAGGGCCTCAGACCGCTGGACCCACCAGCAGCCCTCGAAAGTGGCGACAGTTTCGCAGATCGCAGCCCCCCACCAGATGCGCAAGGCAAGAGGAGACAAGGGGGGAGCGGGAGACGGGAGGCGGGAGGCGGGAGGAGGAGAACTGGGGACCGCAGTCCTTTATTCAGAACGAATATCCAACCAAGGAGGGTTGGGGAAAAAAATGCTCGCGTTGCATCGTTTTCACAAAGAGCGTTTTCGCCCGGTGTCGGACCCTGGGACCCTCACGGATCGATCAGGCTCGAAAGATGGCACAGAAAGGTCGGGGGCGGCAAAGAGGGGGGTGATGACTAGGGAGGGGGGGATATCATGGCGTGGGCCATGATATTTCCTCAGATCTCATGGCGCCTCTCCTTGTTTCAATACGTTCCCTGGCCCCCCCCCCCTGGGGCCGCGCCCATGCCGCCAGCCATGCTTTGCACCCCCCCCTCTTGGACACCCCCCTCTTGGCCGCCCCGGCAAAGACGGGGTCTGGGGCTCCAGTCGCAGTTGTCCGCGACGCTGCACTCTTTGTCGCAGCGTCAGGTCTCCGGGAGGGTGCCGACACCGCGGCTCGTTTCGGGGAGTCCTCGCCGCAGCGGCCCGCCTCTCAAGGTTCTGGTCCGAGGGCACCCCCGGAGAGAGCTGGGGAGTAGCGGTGCCGCGAAGTCTCCCCGTGCTCCCCAGGAGTGGGCCCCCCAGAAGCAAGGGCGCGGCGCGGCCTCGTACAACATCACCTACGAGGACCTGGAGACTGGCAAGGAGAAGGTTCACAAGTACGGGGCCAGCGCCAAGTGCTACAAGCTCACGCCAGACAGGGCCGAGTGCACGGTGATGTATTTCACGGGCGAAGGTAATTGGGAGCCCCCAAATTGGTCAGATATCAGGTGGTGACCTGGAATCCCCCAAAAATCACCGCCGGGTTTTGGAACACGGGGTCACCGCCACGCTTCGTGACACCTGGACTCACCAGCGTTCGGGACATCCTCGAAAAACTACACGAGTCCCAAAATTGGTTGGTGACACCAAATCGCCCTAGACTCACCGCCGGGTGTTGTCACCTTTAGGGACCACCAAGGTAAAGAAGAGAAGAAGGTCGTCCTGGCCGACGAGGAGTTCAACGAGTTGGAGGTGCCGCTGTCGCGCTTCCATAGCGGCAAGCCCGAAGAGGGCGCCAAGGTCGTTCTGTACAAGGACGAGGAGGCCATCGTAAAGGTGACGATGATGAGGCAGTAGAACTGCGCTTGGATAGGGGGAGTGGGAGGATGCTGGCGGCGTGCACACAGGGGTGGGGCGAACGAGGCAGCCTTCTCTCGAGAGGGCTTTTTGAGAGCCCTCCCGCCTTCGAAGCGACTGTCTTCCGGTCGGAAGCGTTCGCTCGGCGAGCCGCTCCGCGGATCCTCTGGCCCACCACGTTTCGGCTCCACTCGCTGATATAAAGTACGTCCCAGCCCCCACGCATCCACGTTTCGAGCTTTTCCCGGCCCCCGGTCGCGCGAAAAACCGGAGCGGTGCGCCATCAGCTCGCGCAAGGCACAGCGCGTCGCAGGGGCCGCCCTCGTCGGACGCGAAGCGAACACTCTTGGCCATGGAAATACCTGAGCCTTGCCGAGTTCGGGGCGGAAGACGGGACAGGTGGATTGGGCGAGGGGGGGGCACGAAAATTGCTGCATGCAGCTGGTTCTGGCCCCGCCGCCCGGGGGCCATACGCTGGTACAGGAAAACCCAGCTGCGCGAGCTGATTCTCGGGCCGGGCGGAAGCGGGGGATAGGGAAAGGGGGGGTTACGAAATTTGCTGCATGTGGCTGGTTTCGGCCCCGCCGCCGGGCCCAGTCCTCGATACGTGGCCGCCTGCGGCGCCGGGAGGCGCCAGGAAAGTCAGCCACGTGAGCTGATTCTCGAACCCCCTCTTTGCGATCCCCCCCTTTCGCCCGGCCCGAGCTTCGCGAGCCCCCCTCGGCCAGGCTGAGCTCCGCCAGGCTGAACTCGGCCAGCCGAGCGACGAGCGACAGCGGGGTCCCCTGCGCCGACGGTCGCGCGTGAGCTCCACGCGCGAGGTCGCGCGTGGGCGCGCCCTCGCTGCCCATGCAGCGTGCCGCGCCAGCGGCCTGCGTGTGCCGCCGCGTGAGGTCGCGGCGCCGTCTCGCGCAGGGCCCGCTTTGGATCGTCGCTCCGCCGAGCTCGGCCGGCCGGGCGGATCTCGGCCAGCCGAGAGTTCCCCAGGCCGAGTCCTCGGGTTGACCCAAAGGGGGGTCCAGTGACAAGGCGGTGCCATCGATTCGTGGGGTTGCAGTACACAGTTGGGGCGTGCAATACACTCCGGGGCGCAAATGTATTGCTGGGTTTTCGCTTGCTTGCAAAAGAATGCAATACAATTTTCCGGCGCAGTACTTTTGCAATCCACTTGCCCCACATCTATTGCACTACCCCTTTTCAGCTGGACCCCCTTTGGGGTCAACCCGAAGTCCTTCCCTTGTCGCCTCTGCTATCTCCCTACCTTCCGTCCGACCCTCTGGGACGCCTCCGGTGTCCTATGCCCCCCCCCCCCGCAGGGCCCCACCCCCCTTCGGCGTGCCGCCAGGGAAAGAGGACAGGGGCAGCGTTTGGCGTCGGGGGGTACGGTATAGGCTTAAGTCGGGCATGTCCCTCCACAGGAGGAATATTCAAAGATAGCCTAATAATAATTTTGGAACCATTTTTTGAACATTTTAGGGGGCATTTCTGAATATGTTTGGGGTATTTTGAATTCGTCGTCCAAGCTCCCCTTGTAGGGGGACATGCCCGACCTGAGTATAGGCTCCGGGCGTCGACCCCCAGTCAGCCATTCATCGCCGATGGGGGGCCGGATGGCCCTCTCCGCCCAGGACTGTTCGGTTCCGCTCTCGAGAGCCTGTCGCCGATCCATCGTCGGTGTATCGGCGATTCCAGGCCGATGCGTGCCCCCAGAGCTGGCCCCCCCCCTAACGCTCCCCCATCCTGAGGAGGTCGGCCATACGTAAGAGTAACCTTTCCTCGGCATGGCTGTTTTGGTGCGGGCACACACGGGGTCCCCAGATGGCTGAATGCGATGCAACAGCAGCGGCTTGCACGCTCCGAGTCAGCCTCCCCGCCCCTGGGCCTCCACCTTCCGTACTATCCGCGTGGCCGATACGGATGCTAAATCACGTCCTTGGTTGTCCTTTTGTGTCCTTCGCAGCCCTGCCTTGTCCCTGTTTGTCCCTGTTTGTCCCTGAAGTCCTTGTTGGTCATGTTTGAATGGGCGTGGTCACTTGAGGACTCGATAAGTTGGCTGGTTGGTTGGTTGGTAATGGGCCTGGGATGTGTTGACGCTTTCGTGTTGTCGTGTTGTCGTGTTGTCGGGTTTCTAATTCCATGGAGTGTTCCAAACGCGACATGTTGTTATGTGATCTTGCTCATTAGTCGTCAAGGTGAGATCATGCACGTCGTGAGCTCAGTCTTTTGTGTTTACTGAAAAATGAACGTGTTTCGCATGGTCTGCTGTTTGCTGTGATTTCTTCAATTGGGTACATGTTTTGTCGAATCGCTGCTGGTATAATCAGATGAACGATGAATTCATGTAGTTGTGAAGAAAACAATAGAAACGTAGAGGTTCACTTATGGCATCTCAATAGGGCCTTGGCAAATCTGATCTGTAACGGTCCAAGGTATCCAATGTTTCCTCGTGGCCAGCGTGGAAGGTTCTTGGCAGCGGCGTGGATTTTCGAATTTCGGAACGGCAGGGCGCGATGTCCGCGAATTTCGGCTTCGGTGGGGTCCAATGTCCACGCTTTCGGGCCCCATGCAGGGCCCGAGCACAAAAACACATTGAAAAATGCAAAGCGAGATCTCTGAGTTTCCACAAGTTGTTTGGAGCTATGTTCATAGGAACAAGCAAATGTCCTCGGTTGTGGGCCTTGTTGGGCCAAATGTCCCTGAATTCTGGGCTTGTGGGGAGAAGATGTCCGCCGATTTGGGCCGCGCTAGGTCCCCGATGTCCCCAATGATCCCCCTCCCAGGCCCCCGATGTCCGCCTTTGCCCGCCCTGCAACAACCGCTCGCAAAGCCACGATGCAACGCCAAGAAGACAACATCTTACGAGGGACATTGAGGGGCACATAGAAACCCAGGCAATATAAGCATACCGATATGGATCTGCAAACAAGGACAATCAAGAGGATACACAATTATATAGACTAGGAGAGACAAACAGGCACATCAGACAGGGGGACATCGAGGGACATCGAGGGACAACGAGGGACAAACAGGGACAACACAGGGACATCGAATCACCGGGACAAACAGGGATAAACAATGACAAATAGGGACATCCAGGGACATCCAGAGACATCCAGGGACACCGAACAGGGACAAAAAGGGACAAACAGGGACATCCAGGGACATCCACGGACATCGAGGGACATAGAGGAACGGGACATCTTTGAAGTAGCACCGGGCTGTATCATACCAACGCAAGCTAACGAAAATTGGTTGAAACATCAAAACTTATGCAGACAAGACTAACTAAAAACAACTCCCAAACAACATGGCCTCATCCCAGTAATATGTCTACGGGATAGCATGAGAACGTGCGAGAACCCAGCGCAACTTGGAGCAACAAGTAAGCGAAACTGTAGCCAACCATTCGTGAGCAACGATTCGTGAGCACTGCAGGCGAGTCGCGCAAAATGTTGGCACGCCCATCTTGCAAGTTTGTTGTCGGTATCGACGAATTGAATCAAATGCTAAAGTTTGCATTGTATTTTCGAATACAGAAACAAATGTCGAGACGAATGTCGGATTCACCGTCGAACATCGAGTATCGAATCGATTGTTGACTGCAGGATCGCGTTTCGAGCGTCGCCCGCAAATAAAAACAATGGCCCGTGAAATCTCGAGACGAATTGCCGCTTGTCGGCAGCGTCCCCGCGAGGAGGCGGAATTCTCCGCGCAGCTGAGTCAAAACGCGCTAGGTGTGATGCGGTTCCTTGTGAGGCTATTTCGGCGCTGGGGTCGCACCTCTTCCATCTGTTCGATTCTAGATTCTAGATCTGACCCTCCTGCAACTTAACATCCCCAAATTAAATATTTGACCTTCCGCCCCATGTTCGACTCTCCCTCTAGATCTAAACGGCGCCGAAATACCGTCCTAAACTAAAGTCCCCGCTCTAGTAGCGGCGAACTGTCCACGGTGCCGCTTCGAGCCACAGCGCCACCGCCTGTTGCATTCCCTGGCAGGTTTAGGAGCATAGTGTCGAGGACCCCCGAGGTGATGCATTACCGAAGGGGATGCATATGCGAAGAGCGGATAGCGTGTGCTTGCCCTTGCGTCATTATCTCATATGATCGTGCTCCTCCTGTTATGATATGCCCTCTCCTATCAGTCTTTGGCGTCGACGTCATACAATCAAGGCTTGCCTCCCTGCCCCAGGATTACAACGCTAGGAAAGAGTTACCAAGAGGGCAACGGTCGGGTTAGTTAACAAGGTTGTTCGGGCGTTAGGCTGGTGATTTCAGTCCAGGTGTTGCTGGGTGTTAGGTTAGTGTGTTCGGGCAGCCGGGTGTGGTTGGGCGTTGTTGGGTGTTTGGTGTTGTTTTGTGTTAGGTTCGGGTGTTCGGGCAGCAATGTGTTGTTGGGTGTTCGGTTAGGGTGTTGTTGGGTGTTGTGTTAGGGTAATCGGTTCATCAAGTGTGGGTTCGGTTGCTCCATCCAGTTCGAAGTTTGAACGCTGGATTTGGGTCATGATTCTGTTCCATATGCCGAAGATTGTGCCGATCGAAGGGTTATTCATGGGAGGTAAGCAGATTCACTGTATTCAACGACGAAACTACATAAAACTATGTGAAACATGTTAGCCGATGTGGACACTCGCATTTCATTTGTTAATTCAACCGGGGGAGAAAAAAAACAAACTTGCCACGCCAGCCGCACGGATAGTACGGAAACTGGAGACCTTGAGGTGGCTCCCGAAAGTCGCGCGCCAAAGGCCACTTTTGCCTAAGGTCACTTCTACGTGTAGCCGAGCAGGCTTCGCTGGGGCCCATCCCCCTCTGCGCGCCGCCAAAGGGGAGGAGAAGTGGCCAAGGTTTTCGCGGGCAGCGCGGAGCTGTCGCTCTGCGGGCCCAGGCTCGTCTCAGTCCGCCGCCGGCGCCTCCTCCCCCCGCCTCTCGCTTCGCAGCCTCGGCACCAGACCCCCTCGCGTCGTGAAAAAGTCGTTGCGCGAGGTCCTTCGCAACTC